ATTCTTTGGGCTTGGGGGGGGGGGCGCAGTCGGAGGGCTTCTAGTGCCCTGGCCCCACTGGTGGACCTCCTGATGGCACTTGGTATTTTGGGCCACTGCGTGACAGAGTGTTGGACTAGATGGGCCATTGGCCTGATCCAACATTGGCTTCTCTTATGGTCTTCTGTTCTTCTGTTCACAGTTGCTCTGATCCAAACGGGGACCCTCCAGACAATGCCAGAAAATCCCTCATGGGTTTCTAGCATCGTTGGTCCATCTTTGGTTCATTCTCTCTTTGCTGCTGTCTCCAGCCTTTAGCAAATCGACTTATATTCTCTGATTGGCAAACTAATTATGGCTGTCCTGCAGTGCCAACTAGTGGCTATATTTATTATGGTGGCACCTCCCCTGACCGTGTTTCAGTTCAGCTTTGTAACGACTTCTTGACATTAGCCCAGAACGTTAAACAAGCGCTGGAAAATTCAAGAGCTCTTAATCCTAGCTGGGGAATTCACAAAGAAATCCAGCAGCTTCTTAACAGCACGCAAACATAGGAATCCACACATTCAGATCTCATCTTGCCAGTTTGGTGTAGTGGTTAAGTGTGCGGACTCTAATCTGGGAGAGCCGGGTTTGATTCCCCACTCCTCCACTTGCAGCTGATGGATGACCTTGGGCAAGCCATAGTTCTGACAAGAGCTGTCCTTGAAAGGGCAGTTCTTGAAAGAGCTCTCTCAGCCCCACCTACCTCACAGGGTGTCTGTTGTGGGGAGAGGAAGGGAAAGGAGTTTGTAATCTGCTCTGAGACTCCAAGTGAAAGGCGGGGTATAAATTTAATCTCCTCCTCCTCCTCCTTCTCATTGATGTCTCCTTTAAAAAAAAAACTGGTGCAAAGCGTGGCAAGGATGTGCATAAATCGGTGAGTTTAAAATGCACACCTGGAGCACTTCCTGCCTCTCTGGTCTAGTCCTACGGAAATATGGATGCATGGGTCTGAAAGGCCCAAAATGTCAGCATCTCCTGTCTACCATCTCATTCTGCCATTATGTAAATAACAGACCAATATACGGGGTCCCCCGTGCCACTCTCTAGAAACTGCTGTGATGCAGGACCACCCTCCTGGGAAGCTCTATGGCTCTCTAGGTAAAGGTAAAGGTTCCCTTGCTCGAAAGCCAGTCGAGTCCGACTCTAGGGTTGCGGTGCTCATCTCCGTTTCAAAGCCGAAGAGCCAGCGCTGTCCGAAGATGTTTCCGTGGTCATGTGGCCGGCATGATTAAACACCAAGGCGCACGGAACGCTGTTACCTTCCCACTGAAGTGGTACCTATTTATCTACTTGCAATTTCTTGCTTTCGAATTGCTAGGTTGGCAGGAGCTGGAACTGGAGACGGGAGCTCACTCCGTCTTGCGGCACCCGGGTCTCGAACTGCTGAACTACTGACCTTCCATAGCCTGCAGTTCAGCGTCTTAACCACTTGAGCCACCGCAGCTCCAAGGCTCTCTAGTCCTAAGGAAATAGGATCGCTAAGTTTTGAAGGGTAGCCCCCTCCCAGGTGCTCTACAGGCACCTGTTCATCATCTTCTTCTCCACATCCGGTACAAGCAACGCCAAAGATAAGAAAAGGAGGTTCTTCTGACAGTCTTCTTTGTAATCAGAAATTGCTGTGAGTCTACATCTCTCCTGAAGCTAGGGAGGCCAGCCTCCAGGTGGGTCTAATGTACTGGCCCATGCTAAATGCTGTAAGACTTTTAACAATAAATACTTAAATAACACATTTAAGAGTTTATCAAAACAATGTTGTACTTTATATATTATTAAACATTCATAAGTACTGATACGGTGTTCCCTCTAAGCTGAGTGAGTGTGAGCGAGCACACAGTTTTTTAGCCTCCGGCTCACACATTTTTGATGCTGAATAGCATTGGGGAAAGCACCGCTCCTTGGGGCACTCCACAAATTAGTGGGTGCCTTCCGGATAGCTGCTCCCCCACTGCCACCCTTTGTCCCCAACCCTGAAGGAACGAGGAGCCACTGCAAGGCAAACCCCTGAATCCCGGTGTCGGCAAGGCGGTGGATCAGTAGTTGATGGTCGACTGTGTCAAACGCTGCCAACAGGTCTAACAACAACAACACTGCTGTACCGCCTTGATCCAGGGGCCTCCGGAGGTCGTCTGTGAGGGCGACCGGGACCGTCTCTGTCCCATGGCCTGGTCGGAAACCGGACTGGAAGGGATCTAATACGGAGGTGTCATCCGAAAAGCCCTGCAACTGAATCGCCACTGCCCTCTCGATCAGTTTGCCCAAGTAGGGCTTGATGGGATGTAATTTACCAGGTGATGTCACTTAGCTTGAGGGCATGACAAGCATTATCTGCCTCAAAGACAGGACATTTTTTCTCCAGGTCCATTGGGAGCCTCATCTCTGACTCGCCATCACCAGAGAAGTAAGACTGCTCAGAAAGGTACAATCCATGAAGGGTGTAATGTACTCCGCCATGACCACGTGCGCGACAGTTGGGCCATGCGGTCAGGCAGAGTCCTGAAGCTTCGCTCCTCCAGGACAATAGCCAAGCGGATTCTAGCCCGCACCTATCAGAGGGCCAGGTCCGCAGCCGAGAGCCTATGGGACTCTCGGCTACTGTATATAGCCTATAGAGAAATAGGGGGTGTGTTTTGGTGGTGGGTTTTCTGAGCATATAAACCAGCCTGCGAGCCGGCTTTCTTCGTCTTGTTCCCTCTGAATAAAAGTACTCTGCTGAAATCACTCAACCCTTCTCAGTACTTTTCAAAGGGAAATGAGTCCCCTGTGGTCCCCACGACTGCTTGGGCTCCTCGTCCCCCTGGATCTGCAGGAGAAGGCCCCCCCTTCCATCACAAGTGGGTCACATCCAAAGGCCAGAGGGTCAGGCAGGTCAGGAGCCAGCTCCTGCCCAAAAATCAGCAAAGGAGGAGGATTTGTACCCCGCCCTTCACTCAGAGTGGCTTACAATCTCCTTCCCTTCCTCTCCCCACAACAGACCCCCGTGAGGTAGGTGGGGCTGAGAGAGCTCTCTGAGGACTGCTCTTGAGAGAACAGCGAGGGACACAAGGTCACCCAAGCGGGCTGCATGTGGAGGAGGAGGGAATCAAACCCGGTTCTCCAGATGAAAGGCCGCCGCCGCTCTTAACCACTACCCCAAACCGGCTCTTTGAGGATGAGGATCCCCGAGTGGCCCCTTTGACCACAACGCTCCTTGAGGGAAAAGGTGGAGGAGAGCAGGGTTGAAGCCAGGGCAAAGCAGAGGAGAACATCCTGAGCAGCCCTCCTCGAGCACAGGAGGAAGTTGCCACTCTCGAGCCTTGGGAAGCTCTAGGACCCAACTCTGGCCACAGCAAGGGGTGGGGCCATCAGCCTCCTTCGGTTCAGCTCCAGCCTCGACTGGTTCAACGGCTCCGCAAGAGGGTTTGTGTTCAATCCTTGACAGCTCCCTACAGCAAGGCCTCCTGTGCTCCGGCTTGGTCTGATCTTGCGGGCCAGAGAACTTGTCCCCAGTGGACCCGGCAGAGAATGGGGCCCTCACTGGAGGAATGGACAAAGCGGTTATGGGATGGTCAGCATCCATTATGTGGAACACCCTCAGCTCCAGTCCCTTTCAGCCAAACGCACAGCCGTGTGCGTGTGGGCTTTCATTCCGTACAAATATGTTTTAGTAGTGTAAGACAGAAACTCCGTCACGGGTTGTGCTCCCCCAGCCCAATTTGAGAAAGCACACGGCAGTCTTGTAGAGGAGAATCAGACCTTGTACTTTATTGATCAACAAAGGAGGGAGGTGCAGACCCAATAAGGTTTTGGACCCCCACAGCTCTCCCTA